TAGGAATGGCACCCGGCACAGTCGCCATTGTGCCGGACACAACCAAGTGTGATACGAAAACTTTCGAAAGTAGTTTCGTAGTTGGCTGCAGTTTCGGCCAGTTTTCCGCCGAAACCGAAACTGTAGTCGAAATTCTTATTTTAAGCCGAAGTTGGCCAAAACCGTAACCGAACCTTCGGTCGGACACTACTTGTGAGTCTGGCAGGCCTTCGTGATTGTAATTGTCAGCCAGACGTATATTTTCACTTAGAATACCACTAGTGCCTAAATTATTTCCGAAATTTTTTTCGAACTTATGAATATTTTGAAATTTATCCTGAGTCCAAGACGATGGATATTTTTCTTAAAATATGCGTGAGTGAGCAAAAATTTACTGATAATAATTTAGGCACCAGTGGTAGGTATTGGGTAAGAATATTTTACACCAAAATATCCAAATTTCAAAACTAGACAGACATGCATTAAAACGACTAAAATAACATTTTCAAAGCTAGCCATAGAACAGCATATAAAACATGCATAAAAGAGCTTCTCAACTGTCAAAACAATTTTCAGTATAATTTCGTTCAGGGTACCCACCAAAAGGAAAATTTCCGTAATTTTTTCATGGAAGCGTTTTATAATAACGGTATTTGATCTGCTATAAAATAGAGCTGTAAAATTATAATATAATATATCACGTGACAAATTTTCAAACCCGGGAAAATAAAAGCAAAAATATTATATTTTTTCGATTTTGAAGATGTTACCAGACTCATTTGCCAATTTCGTAAATCAGCCAGACTTATTTTTATTAACAGTTCATGATTGTATCAATTTATATGCTAAATTTTCTGCCACACTCACTTTCCACTATCTGAGATATTCCGAACTGCTATTTTATAAACTTTATGTTCTAGTTTAGTAAATGTAAAATATTTATGACTGGGAAAATAAGTGTCAGACTCAAAATGTTTGTTTTTTGTCACTAAGAGAACAGTTTATTTTCTTTTACATCGATTGGAAAAATGAGTACGAGTAAAATTCACTGCCTCCTGAACAAAATGTAAAATTTCAGAATCAATCAAAAGGCACGATTTTGTTTTATTTATTAATTTCTGTTCTGAAATCTGAAATGTGTGGATGGATGTGCCATAAATGTTCGAATTATTTTTGGGGGGGCTAATTTGGTTTTTGGGGGGCTTAGCCCCCCCCAAGCCCCCCCCTAACTTCGCCCATGATTTATTAGTGTGACAGGTTGTAAAACTAAGAAATAAACCAAATTTCTTGTATTTTCTGTAATTTGTTGCTTTATTTAAGGTAAAAATATTTCTAATTCATATGACATAAAATGGGGGAGGGGCAAATAAGACAAGAAAATTACCATGTACCTAATCATAATATTTTCTTAAATTTAATTTTGTTCGTAATTATTTTATTATAAACCCAACTATTTTATTATTATTGGTATATTAAAAAATAATTTATTAATAATTTTAGAACTTTGAAATTTGTTAGACAAATAATTCTACTAATAGGTTTTTTTTATAATTATAATCATTACGATGATAATGATAAATATTTTGCATTTTTCATTATTATTATTTCTTAATTACTTTTTAACAGATAAAAATTGTTTTTCTTTAATTAATGGTAGGTAATGAATTTATTTTTTATTGATTTTTAGATAATAAAACATTTTATATTGACAGCTGGTACCTATTTATAATGTGCTTCGTAGATTGCCATGTTTCTTTATTTACAGGTAGCTAAACACAATTTTATTCAACGGTAGGTAGGTACCTATTCAAAAAATATAACAAACTAACACGAAACAACACTGTTTATTGGGAAAGGTTTCAAATATTGCACACAACAAAATAAAATAAATTATTTCCATACCAACTGAAAGGTACTACTTATTAATAATTGATCAATTATTCGAAATAAGCGTAATTTGAAACTAAACACGCATTTAACACAAATTATCGATCTCGTTCTGAGTAAATGATATGCATATGCTTTTATTTGTGATAGTTTCGAGAAAAAAATCTTCCACGGTTTTCAAATTCTTCTCGGTTCCAATAATAACAGGTCAATAAAAATGATTATTAGTTATTTCTAATTTTAATTTTTAGTTTAACCTTTACTTGACGTATTCATTTTCAACTGAAACATTTAAAAATTAGTGACCCGCTTTAGAACTAGAAATAGGTGGCAAAAAATGAAATAATTCAAAGTCAAAATATAGATGAAAAAGAAGAGGATGAAAAGTTAACTAATGTACGTTCTTTCAGCAACAAATTAACAAGTAGGACACATTTTTGGTTATAATCTAGCTCATATTTTAATAAAACGCTTCAATAAAAATATTTATTGCTGTAAAATCTTTGAAATATGCATTTTTTTCATAATTTATAATAAATCCTCTTCAATGAATTGTTTGCCTATACATCACAGGCCACCTAATTAAAAGTAGAAAACGTTGCCGGTTTTTACATTTTAGCAGAAGATCTTCCTCCATGCAGAAGATATTATGCTTTTTCTACAATTATTATATTTTTTATAGTAGACTTTAGACGAGAGATTCCCAAAGTAGTCGATACCGACCCCTTGGGGCCAAAATAGGGTTCCCAGGGGTCGACAAAAATGATAAGATATTTATTAATTGACTAATATTTTTGGTATGTTTAACAAAATTAATTTGCAACTGCAGGGTGACGATCCCAACTTGATTAAAACTAAATCAATAATATCGGTGTTTGTGGATAAACTTATCCTTTGTAAACAAAATTTAAGCAAAAAAGAAAATTCACAGTTTCCGCATTTGTCAAAATTACCAGAAATGCATGGACGCATTGCACAAGGATTTTACTAAGAGGTTTTAGGATCTCTTAAATTTACAAATTCCTCAATGTATAATAAATCTGTACAATATCACAGCCATGGAAGAAGCCAATGTGATAATGCAAGAAGAGTTGATCACCTTCAGCACAGACGAGGTGCTTAACAGTGGCGGCTCGTGGGCACTAGCGACAGTGGGGCACACACTGGAAAGGAATCCCGGTATTCGTTTTTCCCTTAGGACCGATTCCACCGTTGTGTTAAACGAAGTTTAAAATGACATTTTTACATTAACAACGTCATTTTAATCTCCATTTAACAAACGGTGGAATCGGTCCTTAGGAAAACAAGTTCTTCGCTCAATGAAAATTAAATATATTTCAAAACAATCAGTTGGGGCAATAACGATTTCTGAATGTGACTGCAGGGAGCTAAATGTGACCACTCAAAATGCATTTAACTATGTATATGGCTATTTAATCAAAAAATCATTATATATCCACTCTTGCGAAATTTGCGTAAATTTCTCAGAAGATTGCAATTTACTTAACAATTCTAACTTGTTAACGCATTTTAAAGCATACGACTCTGAAGAAAAGGTGTTTGGCAATTTAAAATATCCCAGCGAAAAATTTCTCTTTTATATTTTCAATTTAGAAAAAATATTTATATCTCTATTTGATAGTTTTTCAACTAAGCCTGGAATTTCCAACGCATACCTTTTTGAGATGAGCAAAATAGAATTTGGTCATCCTTGCCTACAATTTGCGAAAATGTACACCATTAAATTATTTATAAGACTCAGAATTTTTTATACTCTTAAATATGCAAACAGAGATTTGAAATCCTCGAAAAAGTCAGACAGAACCAAAAGAAAAATTAACATTTTGTCCCATTTATAAATATTATTGATTTTTTTTCATCATATTTTTGATTGCTTTATAAAAAAATTTTATTTTTCTTTGTAGTTTTATTTCTTAACTATTCCAATGGTCCAACTAACGTTTTTTCGTAATCACAATAAATAAATTATTATCATGGTCCAACAAACGCGCACATTAAGCCGAAACCGTCATCGCCTTTGTGAGGGAGCCGGTAAAGATGCCGCTGCGTACATTCGTATCTGGTCTAGGTAATCTGTGCCATGGGTACAGCACGTCACGATCAGGACAGCGCCCCGCTTGTGACGTATAATTCATCGCATGTGTTCAATTCTTGCTAAGCGATATTGTCGTTGTCCTTGTTTTTCGCATCATAATGAGAGAAAAAACAACCGAGGCACACATTTACTGTGTTCATCTTCCACTTAATTTCGGAATTTTCGGAACGTCGCTCAACGCCCGGTCGTCCAGTGTCGTGCCAACGCGGTTTGCGCTGAATATTAGATAAAATAATAATAGGCATTGAGGAAAATATAAAATATGTAAGTTATTTTTTTTTTGTTTATTATACTAGGGTACGTGCCCAAGTGCCCTTACGGGCAAACCACCACTGTGACAGTCCCTGTTTATAAGACAAAAGAAGTAAATAAAGCTACAGATTTAAATAAGCCTATTAAAATATTAAGTTGTATCGAAAAAATCATTGAGAAGGTAGTTTTAAAGAAATTGTTCATTTTTAAGAACATAATAAACTTATTACTAGAATACAATCTTGAAAAAAACTATCTTCCATTGGCAGTTTTTATAGATCTCTATAGGGTATTATAGGCATTGAGGAAAATATAAAATATATAAGTTATTTTTTTTGGTTTATTATACTAGGGCACGTGCCCAAGTGCCTTTACGGGCAAACCGCCACTGGTGCTTAAGCAGAAATTCAACCAAGGCTCTCAGAAGTTCTGGTTGCAGCGCAATATTGAAACACAGTATCCTGTATGGCACAACATTTTGAAAAGAAGTCTCTTGCCTAAAATAGTTTGGAAATCCATGCTTTAGATTTTAAAATCTTATTTCTACACCCATGTAGATATTAGAAAAAAATATTTTTTTAATACTAATTTAAATTTAGACTTAACGATTACTACTTTTTCTCCTATATCATTTGATTATGTTTTTATTTTGTTCCTTTTCTATTATTAAAATCACAGTTGTAAGAATGAATTTATATTTAAAAAAAAAATTCGTCTGGCAACATTGTAGAGAATGCAATTGACAATTGACTTATGACATGACAGAATAATGACAAATGACAGCTGTTTAGGTAGAAAAAGCTTGCAAAATAGCGTGTATTTTAAACTTAATTTTTTAATTAATTTCTCATGCATAGCATTATATCTGATACTTAAAAACATGGTGAAACTAACTGCCGAAATTATACAAAACTCCATGCAATTCATAAATCCAGTGAAAGATAGAGAACTGGATTTAAGAGGTAAGCAAATAAATTGAGGTTATATATCGCCGATTCTAAAACGTTTTTGTATATATTTTTTTATTTTAGGATATAGGATACCGGAAATTGAAAATTTAGGTGCAACTGGAGATCAGTTTGATACTCTAGATTTTTCAGATAATGATATTAGAAAATTGGATGGATTTCCTTATTTAACTAGGTTAAAATGTTTACTAATGAATAATAACCGTATTGTGTAAGTAAAACGGTATTTTTTTTATCAAAACGATACACTTATAATGCCGAAATTTAATACTAATCAAACTAGTGCTTAATATTTGATTAAAATTATTCCGAATTTGTTTATAGCCGTATAGGCGAACACCTCGAAGAATACATACCAAATTTAGAAACCCTCGTTCTAACCGGAAACCAAATGGAAGAGCTAGGCGACATCGAACCTTTATCCACTTTAGAAAAACTCACGAGTCTAAGTCTGATGTTCAACCCAATCACGGCTAAACAGCACTACAGATTGTACATTATCTTTAAAATTCCCCAATTGAAATTGCTGGATTTTCGAAAAATCAAACTCAAAGAGAGGGACGAGGCGAAAATGTTGTTTAAAAGTAAGAAAGGGAAGGAAATACAGAAGGAGATCATTAAGAAGGCAAAGACTTTTGTACCTGGTGGTAATGTCAACAGTGTGGCGAAGAGTAGAGGTATGCATTGTTTTTAATATTGATATAAAATACTTTTTTCCGTTTTTTTTTGTATAAAACTAAGTACATAATAGATATTATTTTCATTATTTTTTTTATAACACAAAACTAGGTCTTTACAATTATTTAGACAATCAAGGTGCTTAACAGGAAGTTTGTTTAAAAGTATAATTCTAAAGAATTTTCATTGATAATACTATCTGAGTAACTAATATATTATGCACCTGTATTAGTATTAGTGAAAATATATACTGTGGAGCTCACAATCTGTAAAAAATTCTGTTTCTCAGACTATTAAACATTACAAAATTATCTTGATCATCCTTCATACAATTTTGAATTCTGCTAGTAAATTATCAATTATAATAACAGATATATCTTACATGCAACATTATCTGAACCATTGTTTATGTCAGTTTGACATTATAGATCAACCAGCTACAGTTTATGAGTAAATGATGTTCAAGATCTTAAGTTCTAGGGCAATATGGAATCACTGAAAACAAATTTGGACACATATATGTGTATATTGTATTAAAAATACTTATCTTATAGTTTATTTCTTCTTTAAGATTATGTTATCTGATATTGAATAAGTTATATACAAATAAAAAAAAGAATAAAATATAAGTACAGAATACAAAAAAAATAACATCCAAGCCATACCTATTACATTAAAAAATACAATTAGAACTTGTGGGAACATAGAAATGATGGTTAGCAATGGAAAAAAGTATGCCAAAGAAGGCAATAGAGCACCTATGGAATTTTAAGTTGAAACCTCTGCCATTTTATAAGCTATTTTTATGCTTTATTCAAATATTTTATGCTCCTCGTTTTTTTAGAAAAATCAAGGTGCTTTGCTAGCTACGAACGAAGTCAGCAGAGCACTCCATTTTTTTAAGTTTTTTTTTTAACACAATATTTTTAGACTATTTTCAGGCTCTTAAAATATAAAATTTTTCGAAAAAAATTATTTTTTTTAAAAAATACAGGGTGCTTTGCTAGCTTCGAACAAATCCAACAGAGCACCTTAGTTTTTAAAGCTTTTTTCTAAAAACAATCACACCACGGTTTTATGCTATTTGGAAATATAAAACTACTAAAAATTGCTATTATTAAATAATATGGAGTGCTTTATTTAAAAAAAAGTCAGTAGAGCGCATCTGTTGATTATTTTTGTTGTCTGAAACAACTACTTTTGCTACATTTCTAAGATAGATATATATTTTTTTTTTTTTTAATTAATACAGTGCTTTGCTAGCTTTGAAAGAATCCAGCAAAGCACGTCAGTTTTTAAAGATTTTTCTAAAAAAACCTTACCACATTTTTAGGCCATTTTTAGGCTTCAAAAATATTAAATAACTGTACCAAAAAATTCTTATTTATAAATAATACAGGGTGTTTTGTTGGACAAAGTCAGCAAAGCATCTCAGTTTATTAATTTTTTTCTGAAAATCACTAATACCAGTAATTTTAATGTTTATTAGCAAAACCTGTTATCACGGGGGTCGGATTCCATGTAAATAGTTGGTAACAAGTTTGCTTGACCTCGACAGTAGCGCGCTAAGCGCTTACGGTTGAACTACACCTGTCAGTTTCAGTCGATAAAGTAGAACACTACTAATTAAAGCGATTTAAAAATTGGCGGGCTTGATAATTTAGATATTTGAAGCAATTTAAAGTAACATTTTCCTATTTGACAACTTTTACTTACAACTACTAAACAAACAATAAGTTTAGTGAATTTTTGTTGTAGGTAAATGTTGAAAAATGGAAAATGTCACTTGTTTTAACTGAAAAATAAAATTAGTTGAAAAATAAAACACATTTTTAACAAGTTTAATTTATTTAGAATTACCATGTAATTACATGTGTCTCATTATCTTCTAACTGCATATTTTGAACATAACAAGCACTATATCACACACTAAATTACTGAAAAATAAAAATATAATATAACCAGCATAGCACATGACAAAGTTTTTATTATTAAAAAAACCGGATATAGTTTTTATAAAATGTCAAAGTAGTTCATTTATAAACACAATTGTTTTAATGTTTTAAATATCCCATATTAATCCAAGGACAAATCATTCTAATTCTAATATTCTTATACTTATTGTCCCTTTAAGGCCTTTTTCCATCTAGGTATTTCAATCTAGAATAGTTGTAATGCCTATTTCGGTTACAATAAGCCTCCAAGCTTCAATACAGGTGGACTTTGAAACTCACCCTAATTAAGAAACACATTTATGCACATTCCAAAAATCTCCATACCCGGGAATATCTAAAACAAAACAAAAATAGAGGTGCAGTGTGTATCTTAAAATTAACATGAGTCATAACCTTTTTAAATTCTTATATTTTTTTTGCAATAAAAGGTATAAAAATTTCAATAATAATAGAAAACATCTGATTTATGATCTTAATAGGTGAACTATGCAAAAATTAACAAGTTGACCTAAATAGCATATAAGTTTTTGAACATATTTGGGTATTATTTGATAAATATAATAATGAATATCATCCAAAAATTGAACAATAACTTTTTGAGCACAAATCATTCGCCTTTTTTCATCATGGTCTTTATGAGTAAAACTAAGAGGAGGTTTTATCTCGGGTTCTATAATATTTGTTTGTAAATTGGCTTCACACATTTCGCTCACAACTCCTTTAATTTTTTTGACCGCAAATGTTTAAAATGTGGGATCCATTTATCTCTAGAGTAATAATAGCAGGAAAAACATAAACTTTCTTGTTAGTTTTGTGAGAAAAATACTTACTTCTGCAATTAAAATTTAAATGAATGAGAAGTTAATGATTTTCTTAAGAACCTCCCTATAGTTAAATTAGTTAAATCTTACCTACACTTAATTAATACAATTTACTCACCTACATTTGAAAAAAATATCACCTGCATTTGAAAATGAAAATAATATCAGGCTGACACATAGAAAAATAAAAAGGGCTGACATATTTATAGCAACATAACCTAATTTATTTTTAAAGCCAGATTTACACCACCTAATAATATTTAAATTTAGCTTTAACTTTAAATTTATTAACGATTATCCCTGTATTTGATCACACATTATATTAAAGTGAAATTTACAGGGGTAAATCAGTAAAATTATTGATTTATTTGGCATTATTTTTGAAAACATATTTTTTTATGGGTGTAAAACGGGTTAGAATTTAGTGATAGCAGCGCGCTAAGCGCTTACGGTTCAACTACCAACAAGGAAACAAGTCCCGCCATTTATTCAAACCTTCTCTTTTTATTTTTCTATGCCTGTTATTTTTCTGCGTGTTTTTCTTTTGGTAACAAAACAAGATACAAAAAAAAATTTAAGAGATAAAAAATTTGTATTTTTAGTTGTTAAAACTGCAAAAAATGTTTTAAAAGTGTCCAACACATGACTTTCCTGTCTGGTTATTACAGGCTTTTTCCGGTTATTTTGTACAACCTATTGTATCACCCCTGCAAATATTCTTTGCTAATGAAAGTACTGAAAAGCCATTTTAAAAAAGTTTTATTCAACAGTCTGTAGTTAGTTTTTTGTTTACATTAGTTATTAATTCCACTTAGAAGATCTAAGTCTTCTTTCTTGTTTATTCGAACTAAAGGTTCACCATCATGTTTTCTTATATACACTTTTCCATTTTTTGACCACAAGAATTTATAACCGTCATTCTTTTTTAATTTGTATGCCATGTTAAACAATTTCCAATTGGTGGTCGATAAAAAAGATACGACCCTCTATAAAGTACTCCCCAAATGTTCCGACTATGCCCAACATTTAATCAGTTTATCGGGTAGATTAGAGCTTAAATTTAAAATTTGATGTTTTTATCTTATTCCGTTTTTGAGTTATCTTCAAAATTCGAAATTTGTACTTTTTCTCAAATATCTCGAATACGGTCCATTTTAGAGAAATTATGTAAAGGACAAGAATTACAGAGAATTACATCACAAACAACTTTTATTTGAACAATTTTCTGAATTTTTTTTTTTTACTTTTTGTTAATTTTCTCGAATACGGACCATTTAAGGAAAATTTTGTATAGGGCAAAAATTTAGAAAATAATATTACAGGCAACATTTATTTGAAAAATTTTTTTCTTCAAGCGTAAATAACAGATATATTCTATAAAGTAGAAAAATTACCCATAAATTACCACCCAGATGTCCCGACTATGCCCAAAATTTAATCATTTCATCTCAGGATGGATTGAAACTTAAATTTAAAATTTGATGTTTTTATCTTATTCCGTTTTTGAGTTATCTTCAAAATTCGAAATTTGTATTTTTTCTTTAATATCTCGAATATGGTCTATTTTAGAGGAATTATGTATAATATAAGAATTATAGAGAATGATATTACAAATAACTTTTATTCGAACAATTTGTTATGGCTCTATAAACCAAATTGTTACATGTAACCCACCATATACAGTGTGTTCCATAAAGCTGAATCTATATGGAATATTACGAATGGAAAAACATCATAGGGTATTTGTGTGTTTTTAAAAACTTAAAATAGCCCATGTTAAGTTGGCTTGGTACTGCATTAGTTAACTATCAAATTCGGTATTTTTTTTTTTTGAAGGTTCGTTCAAAATATCAGTAACCAACTTTGATATGGCCTATTTTAAGTTTAAATAGGAATGATTATTCTAGGACATTTTTTTCCAATCCTAATATTTAAAAAAATCCCATATGGATCCAACTTTATGACATACATTGTATAAGTTATTATCAAAACTCCAAAGATTCAAAATTTAATTTTAACACCTTTTTTATTCAAGAAACAACTAATTTATTGAAATGTACTCTTCCAAAAACGAAATACGTCATTTCTAAGGTTATCTCGTAAATTTTAAATGTTTTTAATCATTATTTTTTGATTTTTCCAAATACATGCCTGTTTTAAAAAAAAAATGAATTTGTTCTATTTTCGACCGATATTTTTTTTAAGGTTTGACTGATGATGAAATTAAAAAGATCCGAGAAGCCATTAAAAAAGCCAACTCACTGGTGGAAGTGGAAAGGTTACAAAAGATCCTACAGTCCGGCCAAATACCTGGAAATGAATTCAATACCCGTAAGTCTTGCTTTTTTTACCATTTCAATAAGTAATTTATGGCCCACTAGCTGGCCGGATTCGACACTCATTATTTTTTTATATTTGAAAATATGTCATGCCATTTTTCTGTTTTATCCTGTTAAAACTAGAGTTTTTACATAGAATATATGTTTGTTGGCCTACAAGTCGACCTGATTTAACAACCTTTGAATTTTTAGGCATTTTCGTTAACAGTATTCAATTTTTTTTATAAATTCCACTATTTTTCATTAACAAGATAAAAATGTATTTGACGACCAGCTAGATGACCAGATTTGACCCCTGTATAAATTTTTTAAATTACGATTATTTTCATTTTTTTTTATATATTTGAAAATATGTCATGCCATTTTTCTGTTTTATCCTGTTAAAACTAGAGTTTTTACATAGAAAATATGTTTGTTGGCCCACAAGTCGACCTGATTTAACAACCCTTGAATTTTTAGGCATTTTCGTTAACAGTATTCAATTTTTTTTATAAATTCTACTATTTTTCATTAACAAGATAAAAATGTATTTGACGGCCAGCTAGTTGACCAGATTTGACCCCCGTATAAATTTTTTAAATTTTCTTCTCCGGGAATATTATCTGGTTTCAATTACCGATTTCCTTAATTCTTGTAATCGCTAACGATGCGTTGATTGATTTAAAATCGTTTTTCTTTTCTGTTTTAATCATTGCAGGTCAACAAAACGGAGTGACACGCATGGATTTCGAATGATGGCGCATTAGTATGTAATAATCGATTTTATATCGATTTAATTTCGACTTTTTTTGGTAAAGTATTGCGTAAAAGTTCAAAAATTAGTTAATAATATTTTTTTTATAATTCCATTGGTTGAATTTTTTTCAGTTTTCTGTTCGATTATTGTATAGATTTAAGATTGATAAGAACACTGTATTGACACACTATGAAGCGATAATAAATAAAAAACTTTTGTATTAAAAAATGGTTGAGAAGCGATTGGTTTTTTTTTTATGACATTTTTATGGTTTGATACTTTTAATTGTTGCTTTATTTTTCAGAGCGGTTAAAGGTTAATAAATTACTTTTGAATATATTTTTGTTTTATTTTATTTTACCTAAAAATTCAATTTTTTTTCAATTTTAAAAAGAGTATTGAGAAAATGCTGTTTATTAAACAATGCACACAAAAAATCAAATAAAAACAGTCTTTAGTGACTTACCCTGTAGATACAGTGGGCTCCTACTTACAGTAATACAAAAAACTAAAGATATTACCAATTTTAAAAAATTATAGCAAAACACAAAAATTCCATATTTTTAATAATAAAGGCAATGGTGAACAACTAATGAAATTTCTAAAGTTTTACGATTTTTTATGTCATGTGGCATCGTCGCCTTCTCAAAAATCAGTATTTTGATTAATAAAGGTAACATTGAAAAATCAATTAAATTTTTTGAGATTTCAGATTTTTTAAGCCATGTACCATCGTCACTTTCTCAAAAATCCGTATTATTAATAATAAAAGCAACTTTAAACAATGAAATACCTGGAGTTTTCGGATTTTTAAGCCATGTGGCATCGTCGCTTTCTCAAAAATCCGTATTTTTAATAAAGGCAACAAAAAAATAATATGACATTTCCTGAGTTTTCGGATTTTTTAAGCCATGTGGCATCGTCGCTTTCTTAAAAATCCGTAATTTTAATAATAAGGGCAACATTGAACAATCAATGAAATTTCTTAAATTTTCAGATATTTTAAGCCATGTGGCATTGTCGCTTTCTCAAACATTCGTATTTTTATTAATAAAAGCAACATTAAACAATTAATGACATTTCTTAGGTTGTCCGACTTTTTCAGCCATGTGGCATAGTCGCTTTCTCAAAAATCCGTATTTTTAATAAAGGCAACATTGAATAATATGACATTTCCTGAGTTTTCGGATTTTTTAAGCCATGTGGCATCGTCGCTTTCTTAAAAATCCGTAATTTTAATAATAAGGGCAACATTGAACAATCAATGAAATTTCTTAAATTTTCAGATATTTTAAGCCATGTGGCATTGTCGCTTTCTCAAACATTCGTATTTTTATTAATAAAAGCAACATTAAACAATTAATGACATTTCTTAGGTTGTCCGACTTTTTCAGCCATGTGGCATAGCCGTTTTCTCAAAAATCCGTATTTTTAATAATAAAGGCAACATTGAACAATAATGAAATTTCTTAATTATTCGTATTTCTTAAGCCAGTGGCATTGTCGCTTTATTAAAAATTCTTATTTTATTAATAAAGACAAAGTTAAACAATCAATTAAATTTCTTAAGTTTTCCGATTGTTTGCGCCATGTGGCATCATCGTTTTCTCTAAAATCCGTATTTTTAATAATAAAGGCTACATTGAACAATATGAAATTTCTTGAGTTTTCGGATTTTTTAAACGATGTGGCAACGTCGTTTTTTCAAACTATCGTATTTTTATCAATAAAAGCAACAATGAACAATCGATGAGATTTCTGATTTTTTAAGCCATGTGGCACCGTCGCTTTATCAAAAATCGGCATTTTTAATAATAAAGGCAACATTGAAGAATCAATGAAATTTCTTGAGATTTCAGATTTTTTAAGCCATGTGGCATCATCGCTTTATCAAAAATCGGTATGTTTAATAATAAAGGCAACAATTAACTAAATTTCTTGAGTTTTCGGATTCTTTTGAGCTATGTGGCATCGTCGCTTGCTCAAAAATCCGTATTTTTAATAACTAAGGCAACATTAAACAATGAAATTTCTTGAGTTTTCAGAATTTTTAAAGCCATGTGGCATCGTCGCTTTATCAAAAATCCGTATTTTTAATAATAAAGGCAACATTAAATAATGAATTTTTTTGAGTTTTTGGACTTGTTAAGCTATGTGGCATCGTCGCTTTCTCAAAAATCCGTATTTTTAATAATAAAGGTAATGTTAAACAATTATTTATAACATTTCTTAAGTTTTTCGATTTTGTAAGCTATGTGGCATCGTCGCTTTCTCAAAAATCCGTATTTTTAATAATAAAGGTAATGTTAAACAATTATTTATAACATTTCTTAAGTTTTTCGATTTTGTAAGCCATGTGGCATCGTCGCTTTCTCAAAAATCAGTATTATTAATAATAAAGGCAACGTTAAACAATTAATTAAATATCTTGAGTTTTCGAATTTTTTAAGCCATGTGACATCGTCGCTTTCTGAAAAATCCGTATTTTTATTATTAAAGAACATTGAACAATCAATGAGATTTCGGATTTTTTAAGCCATGTGGCACCGTCGCTTTATCAAAATTCAACGTTATAACAATAAAATTTATGTTTTCAAATTTTTAAACCATGTGGCATCGTCGCTTTCTCAAAATTCGTATTTTTAATAACTAAGGCAACATTAAACAATGAAATTTCTTGAGTTTTCGGATTTTTTTAAAGCCATGTGTGGCATAGTCGCTTTATCAAAATCCGTATTTTTAATAATAAAGGCAACATTAAACAATGAAATTTTTTGAATTAAGTCATATGGCATCGTCGCTTTCTCAATCCGTATTTTTAATAATAAAGGCAACATTGAATAATATGAAATTTCTTAGGTTTTCCGAATTTTTAAGCCATATGGCATCTTCGCTTTCTCAAACATTCGTATTTTTATTAATAAAGCTAACGTTAAACAATTAATTAAATTGCTTAAGTTTTCCGATTATTTAAGTCATGTGACATCGTCGCTTTCTCAAAAATCCGTATTTTTATTAATAAAGGCAACATTAAAAAATCAATGAAATTTCTTGAGATTTCGGATTTTTTAAGCCATGTGGCACCGTCACTTCATCAAAAATTAACATTATACGAACCTTTACTAGTGTCGCATAAATTTTTCTTTTTATATGCTTCCCTCAAAGTTCTATCACCAAATCGCGCTTTTTAAATTTAGTTCTCTTCCTTATCCTTTCATTCAATCTTTTCACATATCTAGCACAAGCGGCGCAGTCAGAATTTTGTATTGGGAGAAGGTTTTGAAAAAATTGGGAGGAGGTATTTAAAAAATATAATATTTTTTTACCTAGATTAACTTTTTCAATTTCAAAATCGTCTGAGTTAGCGCCTGATTCTGGGGAGGGGTTAGCCCTTAAACCCCCTTGCTGCGCCACTAACTATCACCATTATCCAGTGGCGAACCCAGATACAGGGGGGATAACAAAATATTGAACATGGAACAAATTTTTATTGTAAATTTGAATATTCTATTTTATATAACAAAATCTAATCCCCTTCTAGTCCAAGAGCTGATACCATATTACATAAATGATCGATGAATTATACCATCGACGATGATACAAGCAGAAAACTCGTTTTTAAAGTGCCGCAAAAACTCCACAACAATTTGAGACAATTTAAATTTGTATTTATTAAGTTACTTTTAACACGCAAGTATGATGTATTTGATTTAGTAATTATTATAAAGCAATTTACTCTTATTTTTTCTTATGATTACTTTGATGATGTGTTTGAGTTTGCGGACGTGCTAGGACTTCCTGGGTGGATATATCCCCATTATCCCCCTTGGGTACGCCACTGCCATTATTCATAATGATGCATTAAAGTTTTCCCATCTCTTTTTAAAAAACTTTCAATTTTTGATTCACTACACTCAACATTTTGTGCTTTTCGGATATATCTTATCGAATTTTATAAAAATATTTCCCATTATCAAACTAGGTATTCTATCTATCCTTCCACTATCGTTTTTAAACAGTATTTGTGCCTAAAGCCTCGACTAATTTTATTAACCTATTTGATAGAAATATCTTAGATAGTCCTAAAACTTGCTCACTTATAAATACGGTTTTCCTTCTTCTTCAACTTTTGATTTAGTTATCAATTTTCAGGCAGTTAATCGTTTGTTGGTAGGTAAAATAAATTTCAAATATTTTTAGGTCGGTACTACCTATTTATTTACAAAATAACAGGTAAGGTAATTACATAAATAATATAAATACTTAAGTCGAAAACTGAAATAAAAAAACTACATTTCAATTTATAGTGTTGCATCCATTTTTGGTCATAGTTACGCTTAACAATCCATAAATTTGCCTATTGGGATCGGCCATTCTTGTATTTTGTTTGCAGTATTCCCAACTAAAAAGAAATATAAAAAGTTTGTAGAAAATAAAAATATATTTATAGTAAGGTTGAATACCGAATTTTTGAAATAAAATTCAACGGCCCATTAGCTCAGTTGGTTAGAGCGTCGTGCTAATAACGCGAAGGTCGCGGGTTCGATCCCCCCATGGGCCAGTGTTTTTTGCTTTTTTTTTTTTTTTTACCTGCTATGTTAACATAGAATTTGAAATATATTGTAGGTATAAAATTTACTTTATTATACAAAAATATTCCTTTCTTATTTATATTTGAAAATCTATAATTAGGATTAGTAATTAAATTAACATGAAAATTATACTGCTTTAAAATGGCTACAACAATTGGGAATGTTTAATGTATATCCGATATGGTCTAGTGGCTAGGATACCTGGCTTTCACCCAGGAGGCTCGGGTTCGATTCCCGGTATCGGAATAACTTTTTTTTTTTGAGAAACTTAAAATAAACAATTATATTTTTCTACAAGTTTAATCACAAAATCAAAAAAAATAACACCAAATTATTTTATTTTTTAAATATTATTATAAACGACCTATTTATTAATTTGCAAAGCTGCCAAAAACTTGAATTTAAAATTTTCTATCAGCATTATATGAAATGGAAAATGCAATAAACACCTACATCAACTATAGTCGAAATTTTCTTCATTATTTTCATTCCTCTTGAATATTAATTGTAATGGCATTGTAGAATACTTTTTATAGTTATGCAACCAACTAAACAAGTTGCTATGATTAGTAATTAATATTACTGAATAATTTACTTTTAAGTATGATCCGGTATGGTCTAGTGGCTAGGATACCTGGCTCTCACCCAGGAGGCTCGGGTTCGATTCCCGGTACCGGAATAACTTTTTTTTTAAATTAACGTAAATTCTCCAAGACAAAATAGATTATAATTTTTTCGTAAATTTATTTAAAAAATATGTATAATTATAATCACAGAGAAGCTTACTAATTACTCAATTTTTAAATGTTTTAGGGGAGAGTAGGACAAAAGTAAAACTTTTTTTAGACAACCATCATGCAATTTTTAACAGATAACATGGGCGTTGCGAGAGGGGCAGATAAAATATTATTCGCGTTATTATTAGATGGAGAAAAAACAATATTTAACTCACCTATTTCCATACATATCTCGGACAATAGCTTTATTAAAATAAATCACAGGTTCATAATTAGAAATTGATTGATTATATGCGTTGTATCCGGTATCCAAGTAATTGAATCTTGCTTGCATTTCGACCATACTTTCGTTGATATTCTTGTAATCGGTTACACCAAGTCCGTATATGGTTTTGGATGAGCTGTCAGTGGTTTTGAATCTAAATTAAAACGACCAATTACTGTAACACTTTACTATTACGACAACCCAATATACACATGTGTATATAAAGTTGCCTACCCTTGAACAAAGTCAATTCTTGTCGAAAAAGCAATCGGTACCATATTTTGTGTTTTTGCGTTTTATATTCAATGTTTTAACTTCTTTTCTTTGTCAAATGTGATTTTCTTTGTTAGTAAATTTTGTTAAGTGTGTAATAAACTAATGAGTGGCATTAGTTAAGATTTAACGGTTTTAGTAATTTCCAAAGATGACGAAATGAAAATGTTTTTATATCATTTATATCACGCTATTTAAAAAAAATGGCATTTGTTAAAGTTTGTTTTAAAGTCGCATTAATTCTCCTTTTATCAGCAAGGGATTTGCACATAAAGGTGCGACAACATTTAGCAAAGAAATACCAATATACTTACTCGCAATTTAGATGAAAAGTTTGTGGTTTGAAGCCAGGTTGATTTTTGTTGCTAATCTGGATTTGTAAAATGCCTTTCAAAGGTCCACTTTTATTGGACAATTCAACTACAGCCTGCATTTGAGTTCCTGGAAATTTTCTTAGTTAAACATTACTTTTACAACTCTTGTTAACTACATAAAAGGAATAATGCACAAAAAATGTTTCTAAAGTTTCAATTCTTCTTGATTTTGATTTAATTTATTTTAGAGCCGTGCGTAGTTATCAGAGATATCTGTCTTTTTATTATGGCCTACTTTAGAAACTTTTTTTGTAAATCACTATTACTGAACTTACCACAAAATTGGCTCTCGCTCTTCGTAGATAGGAACATTACCCCCTCTCCTTTAACATCCTCGCCAATTCTTCCGATGTCGCTCCTGTAGGACGGATCCAGTGATAAAGTATCGTTTTTGATTTGAGGGAAACAACTTCCTTCTTCAAAAGCTGACATATCTCCAGGACAGTTGTACGCTATGAATTCGCAGCTGTCTTTGTTCGTGTTCCTTTTCTCCAGCAAGCTTTGGAGGGATTCCCTGAAGAGCAGGAAGGCTCTAACATGGCTGCAGACTAGTTCTTTAGAGAGGCCGCGTTCTAAAATGAAACGAATACTCTATATCTATTATAAATGTGTACCTAGAACCTAAAGAATTGTAGACTGAGGAGTTTTGAATATGTCCAAAAATGGTTCTATAGTTAAAATTATACCAAGGTTTGCTATATTAATAAAAAAATATTTACAAACGGCAATCAGTTATTGATATAATTGTTGTGTATTATCGTTGTATTTAGATAAAAATACAGTGTATTATTCTATATTTAATAGGTAATGCAGTGATAAAATATTTATTACATATTCTTTTTATTTAAATCACGTACAAATGTTAAGTATATGCAACACAAAATACACACCTATAATAATGATTGCCTACCTTTCAAATTTAAATAAACATTTTATTACATCAATAAGATATGGAATTAATTATTATTGATATGTAGGTACCTGCCGTTATGTATTCCTAATATGTGTAGATTTGATGAATTTGAGAATAGAAAATTCTAAATCTGTCCATAAATGGCTCTGTACTTAAAATTACTAAGTATTTTAATAGTTGTAAGTTTAAACACAAGTTTTTTTACTCTATCAATAGAAAAATATTTAGGTACTTATCAGAGACATAAGAAAAGGTTAATATTATATTAATATTGTTATGTGTTATAAAAATAGACAATGTACCTACTAAAATATTGTTCTGTATTATTTAATTTTTATATAAATCGCTTCAGATGTTAAGTATAAGCAACACAAAATACGTATCTGTAATAATGATTGCCTACCTATTAGTTTAAGGAGAATAATAAATAAAAAATAATGATTTATATGAAACGGTTCTTTGGTTTTTTAACCTTCTTTCAAATTAACGCCTTTATACGCTTTTTAAACGTAAACAATGACAATTTCGTGCTTTTTTTTTAATTTAAATAAATATAATTAATATATTTATTAAATCAGTAAAATACAAAAATAATTATCACTAAAGAACAAAATAATGATTGAAAAATACTTGTTAAGGATAGGTATCAAAATAAATAATGGATCGGAAACAATTTAAAATTAAATAAATTATTTTTAAAATATATTAAAGAAAATCTTGTTAACTTAAAAGGAGAATTTTAGACAACTTTAAGTAAGTCCTCGGTAGTATAGTGGTCAGTATCCCCGCCTGTCACGCGGGAGACCGGGGTTCGATTCCCCGCCGGGGAGGTTGTTTTTTTTTTTTTTATTAAATAATATTGAACAAAAATAAAATGAAGCATTTTTTTACATTACACCTATATTTTTATAATTCCTAAAATTGAATTACCATATTTCTTGTTCAGATATTTACAGTACGTACCGAAATGTGATACAACTATTGAATCTTTGACATCGTTGCATCCTGGCTGATCTTGACCACCATTAGGAAAGAAATCTACGTGACCTATCGGTTCATATAATCCAAATCCATCGGTTACAAACTACAAATAATAAATACTAGAAATTTCAGATTTTTAAAAAATAAATATTTAAAATTTTGATCAGATATTTAATATAAAATCTTTTGAGATTATACATAGATACGGAAAGTTTAAAAGTTTAAATTGAACAAGGTATAATAGAGACATATGTGTATCAAATAAAGACTCTAGCGAAGACCGCTATACTACATAATATACTTTAGCAGTGGCGTAGACATAGCTTTTTGCGATGGGATTTATGATTTCGAAAATTTAATGTATACTTAAATATACAGAGTGTCGCATTGATCGAAAACGAAATAGAGACATTTACTGGCAGATTACAAAAGGTTTGGTAAAGTCCGTAAACATAAAATATACTCTGTACAAAGAGTACTTGAAAGACCCAAACAGCCTGAAAAAAAGAAATGAATTATTTAGCTACAGAGACTAGTTAAAGAAAATAATAAAATCTGCAAAGAAAGATTATTTTAAGAATGAAATTAAAAAAATAGTAATTATTCTAAAAATCTTTGGAACATTGCAAACAGGTCGAAACAAGAAGAAAATATTAAAAACGTAGAGGAAGTGCTAGCTCAAAATGGATCATCTATTAGGGACAGCAAAAGCATTGCAAATCGATTTGTCCAACATTTCACTGATGTAGGAGAAACGTGTATGCTACTAAAATTATTAAACCCCAAACACCGAAAAATAAATCCATTTTACAATCGTTTTATTTCTTTCAGGTTACTAGTGCAGAGATAAATAGAATTATAGAATCTTTAAAAAGTAAAAAGGCACCAGGAATAGATGGTCTAACAACCGATATAGTAAAAAATATAAAAAATTAAATTATCTCTTTTAGTTAACTTAATAAATCACATTTTTAATAGTTGTGAATGTCCAAATCATTTTAAAGTGGCAATTATATTACCAATTTACAAAAAAGCTGATAGGAATAATGTTTCCAATTATAGACCAATCTCTTTAATAACTACACTTACTAAAAATTTTGAGAAAGCTTTAAAAATACGTTTAACAACTTTTTCATTAAACAAAAAATTAATATCTAAATGCCAATATGATTTGCAAGAAGGCTTATCTACGAATGAAGCAATTGCCGAATTAACAAAGACCATCTACAAACGCGTTGATGATAGGAAGCCAACAGCCTGTGTATTTCTGGATCTCGCTAAGGCATTCGATATTGTTTGTCAAACAGTTGATAGATACCTTGGGAGATGCAGGAATACACGAGGGACATCGCTTGATAATATGGCTAGTTACCAAAATAACAGAAAACAAATAGTTAAAGTGAATGATGTCTTTAGTGAATATAAAACACTTAATTATGGAGTAACACAAGGCACCGTTCTGGGTCCTCTATTGTTTAGTGTTTATATAAATGGCCTCTTCAGTATTGAAACTGGAGGACATATTTAGTTTTGCTGACGACACCGCCATTATTTACACAGCTGAAAATTGGGAGGATCTAAAAAGAAAAACAGAAACAGATTTAGGTAAAATTATTGACTGGTTTAATCATAAGGAATTAACTATTCATTTTGAGAAAATCCATTTTGTTCATTTTTGTAGTTAACAATCCTCTTTACCACCCTTTAATGAAATACGGATTCAAAACCATCAGAATGCAACTATTAGGTCAGTCTTTCTTTTCAACGTTCATCTATACCACGTTTTCTACATAATGCCGTTTTTTTTCGTTTAAATCTGTCAAACAAAGTATTAGGTCCTTTTGGTCCGTAACTGCGCATGATTTTTCTGTTCGAGGTTAATCTATACCGAGTTATCTACATAATGCTGTTTTCTTGGTTTAAATCCAACCAATAGTAGCTGAGATACACGCTTAGGTCCTTTTGATATTGCAACTGCGCAGGATTTTTCTATTCTACGTTAATCCATACCATATTCTCTACATAATGTCGTTTTTCCGTTTAAATCTGACCAACAATAACAAAGATATAACTTTTATGCCCTTTTGGCCAGTCACTGAGCAGGATTTTTCTGTTCGACGTTAATCTATACATAATGTGGTTTTTCCCGTTTAAATCGGACCAATAGCAATAAAGATACACACTTACCCAGCAAACACAAACATGTAACATATATATGTATCATTTACATGTACTAGTTCCGTGTTACATAACAAAGTAACTTACATGTTACATAATAACTCACGTGATTACTGTAAAAAATTAATGCGACAAAATTCAGGAGGTGATTGCTCGTATGAAATTAAGATGGGTCTTTCCTATAACAAAATGTCTTCAGCCCACCCCTTTTCGAGATATCATCCTTAAAAGGTGGTGACTAAAATTGAGTTTTTATTTTTTTTCTAAAATTTCAGTAGGTAAAGCTAGACACTTGATATTCCGTAATTTTCGTGCACTCACAAAGGACTAACCACGGGTATTTTTTCAATATTCCTGTTACATTATAGGGGGATGAAAACTTTTTTTTCGACATGAACTTTTATAAAATAAAATTATAACTTGAAATCCTTGTTTTATTTAAAAAAAATAAATTTATTCTTGAATATTTTTCCCAAAACCAATAGCTTCAGAGAAAAAAAAAATAAACACCCTAATTTATCATTTTTTTTAATAAATTGAGTGGAAAACAGTATTTTTTTCTATGAAGCTATTGGTTTTGGGAAAAATTTAAAAAATAAATTTTTTTTTTTAAATAAAACAAGGAGTTCAAGTTATAAAATTATTTCAAAAAACTTCATCTTGAAAAAAAGTTTTGATATGAAATAAAGTAAGGGTTGCTAATTTCACCCACCTATATTGTAACAGGAATATTGAAAAAATAACCGTGGTTAGTCCTTTGCGAGTGCACGAAAATTACAGAATTTCAAGTTTCTAGCCTTACTGAAATTAAAAAAAAAACTCAATTTTAGTCACCACCTTTTAAGGGTGATATCTCATTTTAATTTCATATGAGCAATCACCTTCTCAATTTTGTCGCATGAATTTTGAAACACCCTGTATAGCAGGTTCCTTATATGTATATTTGAATATAACTTTTAATTCAAAATAACTTTATAGCATTTTTCTGTATTGTAAAAAATAATTGTAGTTTACTCTTGAGTAAAATTCATATTTTTTGGCAATCCTCGTATACAGCTTAAAAAAATTGATATCTGATGGTTGCATTTTAAGTTTTGGACCATGCAGGACTTTTTATCCAGAATTATTTTTTTCACAAAACCAATAATAAAAAAGTTTTTCCATATTGTTCCAACTGAAGTAAATACAATTACTTACAAAAAAAACGTCGAAAATATTTGGAGGAATAAAGGAAAGTAATCTAAACGTATTTTTTTAAGTATATCAATAATTTTATTGGACAAATTCATAACCGAAACCAAAAATGTATTATAGAAATACTGCACAAAAATATAATAACCGAAATTCATCATAAAGATCACAAAATATCTGCTATTAACGACGATCCACGGCCTCAAAATTCAGGGTCTCATAAACTATGACCTAAAAAGAGAACAATAATGAATATTTACACCTCAAATGTATCCTCGAAATACAGCACACAAATATAATAACTTAATTTCATTATAAAAACACAACATACCTGCTATTTTCCACAAAAAATCCAAAAATGCCACGGGTGCCTCCATAAAACGCCTATAGCCGCCATTGAACATTGAGACGCTACTAAAAATAATGCACCAGATATACCTACTTACCTACCTTAAAAACATGCGTATTTCAAGGACCGTTTGGTCAACATATACAGGGTGTCCCGAAATTAGACGGTTATATTTTAACAGCGTAATCTACATCCTAAAATAAGAACAAATGTTTATATAAACATAGGTCCGAAAACATTTCTTTTCCGAGATACGGGGTGTTACAAGTGAAGTCCTGATCGCACATTTTTGTAAATATTTTCTAAAATTTCTTTAGTCACCGATTTTCCAAAGTTAAAAAAAAATAAAATTTCTGATTCCACAGACCTAATAATTATTGTTTACACTTTCGAATAAGATAACATAACTTATCACGAAATTTTCAAATGCTTTTCTCTTGAAAATGGTGCGTCCTAGCGAGATGCAACAAAAGTAGGTTTATTATAAAGGAAACATTGGTTTTTCAAATTTTATAGTCATACATGTTTAAAACTGTCAATAAAAAAACTTAGGGTAATTTTACCCTAAGCTCCTCCCAATTTACCCACCTATGAAGATAATCAAAAACTGGGGTTTAGTCCATTAAATAGAGCGTAAAAAGGTAAGCATTTTTACCAAATTTCACTTAGTTATTTTTAAACGTTTAGACAATATTTACAAAAGGGTGTCATCAGGACCTGTATCTCGGAAAAGAAATGTTTTCGGACCTATGCTTATATGAACTTTTACTTCTATTTTAGGATGTTAAAATATGACCGTCTAATTTCGGGACACCCTGTATACGCTATGTAACATTTTGAACGAAATAATTTAGTACAAATTGTTACTTTAATGTAGATTACACATAGATATATAAATTGATATAATCTTTATGTGAGGAAATTTATATAACGGATATGTAATTTTTGTAACATATATTATAATTATATACATGGTATATAACTATGTTGCTAAGTTTGAACTTAGGGGTTCGGTTCCATAAATAACACATAAAAGTGCATACAAGACAGTCGAAGTATATTTTATCCTTCTTAGTTATGTAACAGGAGGGAACATGTAACAGAATGGTTTGCTGGGTAGGTCCTTTTGGCCTGTCATTGCGCATGATTTTTCTGTTCGACGTTAATCTATACCGAGTTATCTACTAAATTCCGTTTTTTCCGTTTAAATCTGACCAACAGTAACAAAGATATAAGTTTTAGGCCCTTTTGGTGCATCACTGCGAATGATTTTTCTCTTCAGCGTTCATCTATACCATGTTAATGCTGTTTTTCCCGTTTGAATCTGACTAGTAATAACGAAAATTGAGGCTTAGGCCCTTCTGGCTTTTCGTTCTGCGCATGAT